GCGTGGACGCCCCGGCGGCGGCGCCTGCCTCGTCCTGTGCCGGGAAGCACGTCCAGGCTCGGTCAGGGCCTTCCTCCGGCTCTTTCAGGAGGAAAATCAATGTTCTGCAAACCACACCGAGAGTCTCCTCCTCTGGTGCGGGGTGCTTGGCTCCTGGCCACCCGGGGAAGGGGGAGTGCCGGGAGCAGCTGCTGCTGCAGGTCCTCGACCCGGGGAGAGACCCCGGGGCCACGCACGCTGTCCTCTGCACAGACAAGCCCATGGGCCATCTGCCTTCTGGTCCGTGTGGTAAGCCCCTGGCACCACACACGGTCCCCTCTGCTCAGGAACTGCCGTGCCGGAATTGAGGGTAATCACTTTGCAAATGAGAACCCAATGTGTTTTACACCCTCAACTTCTTCCATAACATTTCTGGTGAAATCGGGCAAACCTGTGGCATTGCGTTCTCCTGTTCGTGCTGCTACCCTTCAGGTAGGAGTGTGCCTGTTACTAGCTCTGTGGGGAGAAGCAGTCCCGTACCCGGAGGTCTGAGAGAAGGTCATAAAACCAGTGGTGTTGGTAGAGTACATGGAGATTTGCAGGGGGGGCAGCAACAGCTCCCGTTTCATCTCATGTGGGGCTCAAACTGCTCCCCAGTGCTCTCCAGAACAGGTAGTGCCAGGACAGCTCTGGGAGGGGAAGTGTGACCATCCTGTTCCCTGAAACAGGTCTCCTCAGCCTTCCCAGACAGGCGTGCAGTGCAAGTCTGACAGAAGTGAGGGCTCCTGAGCAGGTGAGCTGCTGCCAGCACTGGAACTGTGTTTGATATCTTCAGAGTTGGAATTGCAGCTGCATCATTGTAAGTAGTTGTTCCCTTCATCTGAGTTCTCTGGAAGTGGATTCTCTGCCATGAAAGGGGAGAAATGCTGTTCTTCAAAGGTTTGCAGTATTTAACGAGTTACCCTCCTCGTTTGCCATAAGTCGGGGCCTAGGGAGAGTTTGTGAGCAAGTCCCTGAGGGGTCACAGAGAGATGCCTCTCTATAAACTACCTTGTTCTCTCTGAAAGCTCATCTCAGTGGTTTGGCTTGTGGATGCTTTTCCTGAGCTATTGATTTTGAGATGCCCAGACAAAATCCTCCACGCAGTTTTCAGCTTCCTGGGGCTGAACTTTATCCTGAAGTTTGTAAGTTGTGGGCAGAGCTTGTGGAAAGGGTTGTAAACAGGCACACACTACTGGATGGGGGAGAGACACATTGCAAGCCGAAAGCAACGAACCCAGCCTTGTACATAAGTACAAGTACAGATACAGCCTCTTCTTCCCTGAAGACGAGTGTATTTTCCATCAGAGGGCCAACAGCACAGAGGGAGACATTGCCTGAAAGACAACTTTTTTTCAAAGAGCACTGTTAGATCCTTTGCTTGGACTCAAGAAATTTGCCTCAAGAACAAATGCAGAAACATGTTCCCCTTAGAATTATTGAAGGTCTGTTTTATTTGTACTGAACTGCATTTTTAAATTTTCAGTTTATTCTGGACATAGACATACATCCTGCATGCATTAAATGACTTTTGAGCAATGCCCATGCGGGATTTCACACTCCTGCTTGTGTGGGAGGGATCAGAATCAAGCCATTAACATTCTCAGGGAGAGCAGGTGAAGTTACAAACAGTTATGTATGAGACATGTTGGCTCTGTGGAAGATGTGCCTGCACAGGATCCTTCACCCCACAAAATCCACAGCACTTTGCAGGATAGGGCACATGCAAAATCATTAGCAACTATTTGCACTGTTATAAAAACTACAGCCTTATTCTAGAACCTCTAGAATAGATGCAAGTGCATTCATTATCCCTGAACATCAGCCATGGAGAGGTTAATAATGTTAGCATTTAAGTGTAATGACAATATTTAGGCTTTTGCGTTAACACATTTTTGAATGGAAGAGTGGAAGATCCCACTTGGTGCTACCGTTAGTCTGTCAAAAAACAGTGTACTGGCTTACATTTTGATGGTTCCTTCCTATACCAAAGAGCTGCAGAGTTAATTTATTTCAACAAAAATTGGTAAGTGAAAATATTTTAAATTAAAGTTTCAAGACATTCTGGTTGGGGAGTAAATTCTAATAATTAGCAGAGGAATCTGTTTGTGGGTATTTTAAGAATATTTTTTCAACCACACGTTTTTGTATTTCTAATATTTTTTGCTAGAAGAGCGAGATTAATATTAAGTTCAGTAAAAGGCATATGATTAGCATGAACACTTTATGAAAGCATTTATAAATCAGTGCTTTCCCATATCAAACATAAGACTAAGAAAGTATACTTTTCAGGAACATTAGAAAGATAGGAACTTGTCTAACTATTCTATTCTAACTGAACAGAAAGAATTCATAGGAATGAATACAGCAGAAGAGATGAAGTTAGGTGATGTTCAGGACTGGAATGTTGCTGCTATTCCCAATGCCTGCAGAATGTGAGAAGTTTGATATGGCTTCTTTTCTACTTATGTATACTTTTAACCTAGATTTATTGTAGTCAAGTCCAGTTAATTTACATGGTGCAGATTCAGATTATTTCTATGGTAAACCTGGAGTGACAAAACACAGAAATCTTAAAAGAGATAAAATTTGAATCCATTTCTTTTAAGATTTCTCAAGGAAGGAGTGGAGAGCTGTTATTGCAGACATGTTTGCATGAGGTAATTTAGTCGTTAATGCAGATTAAGTTTTCCAGAATAGTTTCCCATATGCTTCTCTATCATGACTTTTTACTGATGCCACTGGATGCAGTAATAATTGCAACACAGTGACTTACTTCACAACAGAATGTCCTCAGGATGAGGAATTAATTATTCTTTGCTGTGAATACCATTCACAGCCAACTTCTTTGTGTTGCTAGTCAAGTAAACAGAATTTCAGATTTGCCTCCTCCAAAGACATCCTCAGAAGCTCTTTATCCATCTTATAACTCAGTTTTCAAGTTTCTAAAATGAGATCTATACCTACTTAGTGCAGCATGGGAGGTTGCAATGCATGTGAGTGAGTGTGTGTGTGTGAGAGCAAGAGAATGGGGGGGGGTATCACAGTAAATCTATAAAGAGATGTATTTATACCTTCTCTGTGATTAAAAAAAAAAAGTATGTATCACTTAAATGTTATTTAAGTCAGTGTTATGCTCAAGATGTTCATCTTTATTGTTATTGCTAAGTTCAATTATACCATATTTATGCCAGGTTACTTTTATTTGGTAATACATAGAA